AAGGCATATTGATAGGGAGTAAAGTTGCTCGTAGTGTTGCCGAAGTCCTGTGTACACCTAAGAAATAGAGAGCATCTTTCACTTCTGCTTCTCACTTCTCAACTACCGCTGCGATACTAATTGCTTCATAAAAACTTTAATCGTGGCAGACTTTATTAAATTTGTTGTCAGGTCTGCTTCTTCTGAATTGAAACAAAACCACCAAGGTCGCTAAGGCGGACACGATCACTAATAATCTATTACTAGTAATGAGAGATAAATTGAAGTCACATTGGTAGTGTGCGCATGATATCACTAAGATAATATAGAATAAACCACGTGACAAAGTTTTAACCAATCGTAGTAGAGTATGAGTTTGTAGTGTGTTGCAGTGTACAGCATTGACGACATACGTCTTTGTATATATGTATAGCTTATAGGCCGCAATCATTTTAAAGTACGAAAACAGTGAATAACTTACTAGGTTGGTCAACACTGTGCATAACAATGCTCATACTTTGTGAATAATTTGGATAGAGCTTATAAACGGCGTGCAAGACTATTTGGTAGCGGATATAACACGTATTTAATTATATTTTAAGTATATGTATATTAGTCGTTAAGGAGATTAGAACTTTCCCTATAACTATTACATGAAACAAGTAAGTGAAACAATATTTCTATTATAGTTTAACGTTGAACTTTCCACAAATTGAATGGAGGGGAAATGAAAACTAACTGATCAACCAATCAAATCGCTGGAATAAAAAAGTAGTTGCTTTCTGTGCCTTGCATTCCTACATCCCATGAAGAAGAAATGTAATTTTTGCTTGAATCAGACATTTATTAGATTCTTCAATTCACATGACATATTTTACAACAGCTTTCTTACAAAATACTTGTTTTAACTAATGTAGGCATACAAACAGGGTCTATACCAACCAAGGTATGCTTGGATAGTGAGCAGTATGGGTTTGGGTACATGGTGGAATGCATCTTTAGTATCAGATACCGAAGATATCACGTGTACAACAGAAGAGATGAGATTGGCTGCTTATGGCACCATAGTTGTCAAGGAAACATGGTGGAATACAATTGGCGGTCAGACTACGTACGGTATTGTGAGTACGATGTATAAATCAAAATATACCTATTTGCCTGAAAATAAATCCAACCTATACCAAAATGCCTTTAAATAAGACCCGACATATCCCAAAACCCTATAAATGGGTTCCAACCTATATCGAATTGTCTATAAATGGAACACTTCCTATACCGAAATACTTTTAAACAACACGCCCTTTACCAAAACATCTATAAATGGAACCCGACCTATTCCAAAATGTCATTAAATGAGAACCTATCTATGCCAAAGTATCAATGAACTGAAAACCGACGTATACCTAACTTTACCGAATACCTGTCTATAGAGGAGTTATAGAGAACGATCCGTAATTGGAACCCGACTTATACCAAAATAGTTATACATAGGACCCAAAGTATACTGAACTGCCCATAAATGGGACCTGATCTATACCAAAATGTCTATAAATGAGAGCCGGGCTTCACCAGAACGTCACTCTATAAAAGAGAGCCGGGCTTCACCAGAACGTCACTCTATAAAAGAGAGCCGGGCTTCACCAGAACGTCACTCTATAAAAGAGAGCCGGGCTTCACCAGAACGTCACTCTATAAAAGAGAGCCGGGCTTCACCAGAACGTCACTCTATAAAAGAGAGCCGGGCTTCACCATAACGTCACTCTATAAAAGAGAGCCGGGCTTCACCAGAACGTCACTCTATAAAAGAGAGCCGGGCTTCACCATAACGTCACTCTATAAAAGAGAGCCGGGCTTCACCAGAACGTCACTCTATAAAAGAGAGCCGGGCTTCACCAGAACGTCACTCTATAAAAGAGAGCCGGGCTTCACCAGAACGTCACTCTATAAAAGAGAGCCGGGCTTCACCAGAACGTCACTCTATAAAAGAGAGCCGGGCTTCACCAGAACGTCACTCTATAAAAGAGAGCCGGGCTTCACCAGAACGTCACTCTATAAAAGAGAGCCGGGCTTCACCAGAACGTCACTCTATAAAAGAGAGCCGGGCTTCACCAGAACGTCACTCTA